GTATATCATGGTGAATATAGTACTAACAAGATATTGTTTGCTTGAAAATTGCAAAGAGAGTAGATTTTAAGTGTTTTCAATTTAAATGATATTTAAATTATAAGTATGTGAAGTAATGCATACTTTAAATAGCTTAATTTAGCCATTCCACAATACATGTGTATACCAAAACTACACTCGTTACATCATAAACATGCTCAATTTTTATTTGTCAAAAATGAATTTGAGGGCCAGGGATTTAGCTCAGTGGTTTTGCCACTAGCTGTGCAAGCTCAAGGACCTGAGTTCAATCTCCAGTACCAAAAAACAAACAAACAAACAAAACAACATCAACAACAAAAAAGAATTTGAAAAAAAATTAAAAACAAAAAATTTTAAAAAGAAAGAGAAGCATTTAAGAAGAATATTAGGGGGAAACCCAGTTTTTCTTTTTTTTTCTTCTCTTAAGAGCTGGCCTGATTAAAGAAAGGGGCTAAAAATAAGTGCCTCTGTTTACTGAGCCTATATATGGGACACTGAACCATCTACCTCCATATTTTGCCTTACTGCATTCTTAAAAATACTCCAAGATGTAGATGTCATGGTTATACCAATGTTACAGGTTTCAGTTACTAAGTAGCAGAGCTGGGCCATTACGGTTCAGGTACTATGTATCTACTCCCTCCCTGCTGCCACTGCAGCATGACTCAAACACTGAGAAAACTTGAGTGTGCCTCGTTGACCAGATCAGCTACCTCTCATATGTCATTTGTTTTTTTGGTACCAGGGATCAAACTCGGGACCTTGCACTTGTGAGGCAGGTGGCAGAACCACTGAGCTAAATCCCTGGCCCTCACGTGTCTTTTTTAGCTTCAGTGTTTTTCTCTGTTACATGGAGGTATTAGACTAGATTAGCTGATTTTAAGTAACAGAATCCTTTCCCCAATTGCAGTCTTATTCTAAAGACTGAGACAGGGCTAGAGTTGTAGCCCAGTGGTAAAACTGTGTAAGGTCTGAAACTAACACAGGAAAAACAAAAGACTGAAAGACTGGCATATAAGAACACCTAAAGGTACAGCTACTCCGATTGGAGTGTGTGTCTGTGTGTGTGTGTGTAGGGGGGAATAGAAGGTCCTTAACTCTGCTCAGAGATGTCCCTTATTCTCTCTATGATAGTACCCTTGGAGTTCTGTAGGATGCAGTTTGAAACCTTAAAGCATATCACAAAGGGGCTCTGATGTACATGGAAGGTCCACGTGACCAGGTCAGGGGGAAGCCTCTTATCAGCCCTTTGGGGTTACAACCTGGCCTTGTACAGACAAGCGCAAAGGCCACCAAGCTCTGGGCACACCATTGAGTCTCTGGGCCTCAATGCCTCCAACTGTGAGATGCAGTGCTGGTACAACCTTAGAGTGGGTAGAGTCACAGCCCTGGACTGCAGGGCACAGGGAAAGACACAAAGGGACCCTAGACTGGCTGGGGGGAGTCTACAGGCAGGGCCTGCAAGGGGGAGTACAGAGGACAAGGAAGGCCTGCATCACCTTGGAATGCAGGTAGCCTGGGCTGCAGTGGGACCACAAAAGTCCCAGGAGGTATGGGCAGATTCCAACAGACCACCCTTAAGTCTTGGGTTTTAAGGAATCTTACTACCTCCCGATATTGTTCCCCGGCCCTGACAATTCTTCCAAAGAAGTACACTGAAGACATTTGGAGACAATGGGCCTTATCATGGGGCTTATAGGCTCTTAGCCAAAATTGTAGCCATTGAGGAATGTGGATTTGGAGTATCTAGACTATTTCAGTCACAGAACTTCAAAATAATAGAATACAAGTACTTTAGATCTCCAACTCTTAGGAACACAGAACTTTAAAACTGTGTATATTAGAATACCAAACTCTCCGACGTATCACAGAAATAACAGACAAGTAGCCTCCTGGTAAATATGACCCAAGGGAAGGTCACAGAGTCTAGTGATGCTCAGAGGCTGGGCTGGACCTGTGTTCCTGATGCAAGAGGCCTGTCTGCTGGTGAGCAGCTGGCGGGGCTGCAGGTTCTCAGAAGGATCGGGGAGCACAGGAGGGTGCTGTCTGAACAGGGATGGGGGTGGGGGGTCTGCCGGGAGCCCCTAAGAGACCATCTTTTCTCCACAGACCCTGCAGAGGCCTCCCCCCAGGCACGGAATCCCACGGTCCCAGTCACAGGAACAACCTGAATTGTGTTTCAGGTATCCCCTGCCTCTCTGCACCTTGCTTTTCTTTACTACCTCAGAGCTCCTTGGCATGGGCAGTGTAGGATGCATTTCTCATCTCCCTTGTGAAAAAGTTCAGAGACACAAAGCCACTTAAAGGAGACAGTGTCCAATGTGCCAAAGCTGGCAGACTGTGTCCAGTCTACTGCCCACTGTACACATTGGGAGACTGAGGTCCAAGGCCCTCTCCGGGTCACATACGGTAACCCTTATATTATTTACCACCATCTCCTGAATTCCTTTAAAAACTGCATACTTCCAGTAGGGTATTTAGGGAGCACTTGAGCCCCAAGCTTAGGAGAAGTGCTGGAAGGGATTTCTAGGCAGGCAGGCGGCAGCATCTCTGAGCTAAATCCCTGGCCTTGGAAGGGATTTCTAAAACATCCCTCTTCCACCTTCTCCCCTTTGCCCATTCCCTCTCATTGCAGAAAATGCACATCCCTTGTATGGGGACCTGGAATTTCTGGCAGCCACTTCTGCCTAACTTGGCCTTTCCCCTTGCTCTATGCTGGTCCCCATCAGTGGCCCTAGTGGGCCAGGCCAGCCAGCATACTGCAAGCAGCCTGGCCAAGGCAGCCTCAAGGAGATGGGGTATGATTCCTCCCACATCAATATTTATTGCCTGAGAGCGGCTGGAAGCAGATCATCATGTTCTCAGCCTCCAGTTCTTTTTTAAGAACCTCTCACCCCCTACCCTCCCCATTCCCCATTCCCATTGTGCCAGCAGAATAAATGCAGACAGCCAGACAGGTTCACAGCCTGGGAGCCAGGGTTTCAAGACATCACAGCACTCAGCTCTCAAACTCTGACTCCAAGTCACAGCAGCTTTGACTTGGGAATTACGCATTCTCGGATTCTGAGGTGAACAGACCATTGCTCCAGTAATCCAACCTCTGCACCTTACAAGACAGTGCAGAATGGGGAAGTGACTTTTGCTCAAGGTCACATGGCTGAAATGTGACAGAGCCCAGTGCAGGCAGCCGCTCTCCCCAACCTTCCTCCTTCATCTATCCATTCCACTGCCCACTACTGTTCTTCTCTGTTCAAAGGTAGGGCCCAACTCGGAGTGCATCTGCAACCAGCAGCCCAGCCTCACATCTTCCACTGAGATCACCCCCACTTCCAAGAACTCTTCCTTGAGTTCCAGGAATTTCATGTGCTCCAAATTTCTGTCTGAGCTAGGCAGAACTGGGAAAGAGAATCTGAGGTTCCAAGCTGTCTTCTGCCTTTGAAACTAGTTCCTTTCCCTCACTGCTTCCCCTGCCTCTGAGCCAATGCACCCAGTTTCACCTCAGCCCACGTAGTCCCAGCAGTCCCACTCCCAGGCAGTGCGTGGGTCCATCTGCACCTCCTTCCGGTCAAGGCACTGCTTCCTGCCTGCCCATTGCATTGCATAGCTAGCTGCCTTGTCACCTCTCTCTGCACAGTCTCTTTGTTCTTCACTGTCCTTTATCTACCTGTCACCTGGTGGCAGGCCCTCCTTCCAGGCTGCCTACTTGTCCTGAAGCCAGCAGTTAAGGCCTTTTCCCTGGTTCGTTTTCCTTGGTCCGTGTCCACCCTCTCTCCAGCCTGGGTGGTGTGGGGTGGGGTGCAGTGGGGAGGTTCTGTAGGGCAGCTGGGGCAGGGAGTCAGACAGACTTAGGCTCAAACCCCAGCTTTTCCAGGCAGAGCACTCATCAGCCCTTCCTCTCAGGCCAGGCCCAAACTTTCTTGCTCTACCATATTCAAATGTACCGGCCTGCTACATTAAATAGAATTCTTCTTGCTGCAAAATATTTGACAGGAGTTTTATAAATTCTCCCTTTGAAATTAGAATTACACTTAATTTATGATTGTGGTTTTCTACCAGCCACCTCCCATTCTTAGGAAAGGAAGGAATCTAATACATAAATTTTTAGAATGTAATGAAATGTGTGTGAGTATTAAAGAAAAATTAATGAAGTTGACTCAATGACATAAAATTAAACTTAAGAAGCATTTTGGGGGTCATTTTCTTTTCTTATTTGGAGTCAATGTATTGTTTTCCATGCCTCATGTTTTTGTGAATTTCTGGAAAACTTGGAATCATCTGTCCTGCCCAAGGGTCACAAGCTCCTTCCCTCTCGCGAGTCCCTACCGGGGTGGGCTTCAGTGTCCTCCTCTTAGGAGAAGCCCACCTATCCTGAGAGTTGAGCAGACATTTGATGGGTCCCTGAGACATCCTTCATTGTTACTTGATCAGGAGTCTTTGTCCTCAGTGGCCTGTTCCACTTTAAGATTAAAGACCACATACTGCATTCTAGTGTCCAGCCTGGAGCCAGGCCCTGAGGAGCTGCTCAGTGCTTGTTTGTCCCCTTCACTGTCCCCGAAAGGGTAAGGTTCTCTTCTATAGCCAAAGCCTTTGTCCAGGCCTTTCCTGCACCTAGAAATCCCACCCCTCTTTCTGTCCTTCCATATGTCCTTCCATATCCAGCTCAAATCCATCCCAGACTCACCCTCCACAGCCTCTACTTCTTAGCATTCCTATTGCACATTCAGAATTCACAAATGATTGCACAGAGGGGCATGGACTCAGGCAAGCCTGGCTTCTCATCAACACATCCCTTTGCTGGCTGCATGAGTCTGGGCAAATTTCCTCCACCTAATACAGGTAAAGCCCCAGATCTTGCTGTGAAAGGGCCTGGTGATATTCACTATGCGGGACTGTTGGGCACATGCAAAGGAGCCCAGACAGATAAGCTGTGATGTGTAGGGGCTGAGAGGGATGAAGTTTTTTGTTACAAAGAAGGATACATGGATGAGGGCTGGAGCCTGGGCTGAGGCAGGAGATGGAAGGTCCTACCTTGCTGACAGATGAGGCTGCACCCGCCAGTGCCTTTCTCCAGAAGTGAAGCTCATGCTTCTCCTTGGGCATTTCCCTGGGGAAGAAGAAGTAGGGGATGGCAGCCAGTGCCACTATGCCAGCAGAGATGAGAAAGCCGAGCCACCAGGCGCCCACCCATTGGGGGTCCTTTGGGGTCAGGCTGACACCACCTGGAAGAAGAAAAGATGGTGATGTTAGGGTCAAGGTGGACTGGCTCTTCTAGCCCACCACCCTGGGGCTAGCCTTCGAGACATGAGGCAGCCTGGCGGGTGGGTAGGAGGCCTGAATTCTTGGCTCTTCTATTTATGTCTTGTGTGACCTTGGGCAAGTCTCTGACCCTTTCCGGGCCTTGGCTTCTTTGGTTACTAAGGCAATGTAGCATAATGCTCAGGTCATGGACTACTGAGTCTGGATTCCATTACTAACTTTTAACCTTGGGCAAGCTGCTTAATCTCTCTGTGTCTCAGTTTCTTCCTCTGTGAAATACAAGTACAGTAATAATAGGTTTTTTGGGAGTGGGGGCTAATAGCTGGGACAGTCGTTTTTATATCATAAGATTGTTATGAGAATTGTAGAAATGAGTACATGTAAAGCTAAAAAATACAATTTATTAAAAATTTAAAAATCTAGAGAGGGACAGAGAGAGATTAACACACGTAAAGAACATGTAGAAGAGTATGTACTGTATAGGCATTTGTTCCTTCTCTTCCTACTCTTTCTCTCCTTTTTTTTCCATTTCTACTACTATTGTGACTATTATTATTAAATAAAATTATTATTAAGTTAAACAATGGTTAAGACTGCTGTGCTAGTTCTCAGAACCACAAGCTGATGAAAATCACCAGAGGTGATTTGGCAAAGCCACTGACAACTTATTTAGGATGACCACAGGGGGAGATAGGAAGGTGACCAAAGAATGTGTACCTTTACCATGTTACTTAGGTAATTGTGATTCCCATCTAGGGTTAATTAGGACTGAATTATCCTAAAGTACTCCTAGCTTCAGTGAACAAATCTCTCCTGAAAGCTCTTAAGCCCTGGGGGAGGAGTTGGGGACATCCTCCTCCAATCTCCATAGCACCCACAGATACTGTGTAAACATAGAAATTCATGACAATGCCAACCAGCAGAGCCAGCAGCTGCTTTCCAAGGTGCTTGATCTTGAGCCGTTCTTGGGCAGTGGCCAAGGTACACAGTTGGCTCTCAGCAAATGTAACTGAATGTGGCTTTGCGCTGATGGGACTTGATTTGTTCACTTGTTACCTGCCCTGCCTCCTCGACAGGCTGGGGAGAGCTCAGACACAAATCTTCCTACTTCCTCCACTCACACTGGTCTGTGCCTGCAGCAGGCAAGATTTGTCCACCCTATAAAATCCCCCATAAAGAAAAAGGACCCAAGAGATGGCTCAGCCGTCCCTCGAAATGCCACATCTGCCACTGGAGCTGCCAGTATGATATCAATATGGGCAGAAAGCACACTCCTTCCTCCAAGCAAAAGTGTGTCTCAGAAACCTAAGAAACCCCTGACTCGCTAGACTTTTCCTTCTGGGAAAAGAATAGTTGTGATCAAAGCCCAGGTCTTGCTCTATGGTCAGCACTCTAGAAGGAACAGAGACAGAGCAGGGCAGTCCCTAATGACTGTTGTACAGACCTATCCAAGCCTGTCCTGGCTATAGACAAAAGCTGGGGAGCATTCATTCAGCCATGCAGGTGTCACCTGGGGCTTCTAGGGCCTGCTAGAAAATCTCCAGGTAAGGGTCAGGACTTCTCAGTAGCAGAAGGCACAACTGGGGCTCAGAGTTGGTTGGTATGAGAAGCAGACAGCCAAGAAGCCACAGTGACAGGTTCTAACAGGAATCCAGAGCTCTGGAATCCCCAAGATTCTTCCTCCTGGCTGCCTTCAGACTAATCTCCAGCCCTACCTATTGGCTCCTTCTGACCACTGGCTAGATGGGAGACCACTATTTCCCAAAAGGTGCCTCAGCAGTTTCCTGGATTTTGAGGTGGTCAGGACTAGGAAGTCATGGAAGTCCCCCAGTGCACATCCCCTCTGGAAGACACCTAAAGTGACACATGAGTCATTGAATCCCACTCCAGGTGCCCCTTGGGCGCCATCATCCTCTCTGTTCTGCCTGAGCTCAAGCACACTTGGGGCTGAGAGATGTGGAAGGGCAGCTATGTGACAAGTTGAAGGCCTGTAATAATGGTAGTGACAGCAAGCATAACTCCTCAGCAGTTGGCACTTTCCAGTTTATCTCTGTCACCTTACTGGATTCTGCCCACAGCCTTGGGAGAGAGACAGGACAGAGATTATCTTGAGGGTGAGAGAGCCAAGGCCCAGAGTGGCGCTTGTCCAAGGTTGGTGGTGGTGCTCGAGGGTGCACCTAGGTCCCCTGGATCAGTGTCAGTGAGGCCAGTGCTCAGTGAGTTGGCATCTGTGTACCCAGGGGAAGAGAGCATGGTCCTGAAGCTTACCTTCTGGCATCCGGTCAATGTCCACGTAGAGGCGGAGCATAAGGCTGCCCAGCCCATAGGCCATACCTGGTCCCATCAGGGTCACAGCAAACAGGATCCCTGCAACACAAAGCCTGGGTCAATACCTCCAGCCCTGGCTTCCCTGGGCAGGTTGTTGCAATGGGCAGGACAGCCAATCTTCTCTTGACTTTTAGCGATCAGATGGATCAGAGATCAGGGACTCAATCTCCAGCCCCCACCCTGGTCCCCTCTTCCTTCTACCCAAGTCTGGTCTCACCCCCAGAGCCTGAGTGATGGGAGGCGCCTCACCAAGGTAGAGGGGTGAGTTGCTGTGATGGGCAAAGTCATCGATGTAGGAGATACCGAAGGGCTGAATGGGCACCCCCCCCACGCCGAGCAGGGTCTGTGCCACAAACATGACGCCCACCACGGTCACATGCTGGACCTCTGTGTAGCTGGAGCAGCTGCCATTGGAGAAGTCAGGGGCTGGGACTGAGGTTGTGGGCAGGCACAGGGAAGCTTCAAAGTCCTGTGACATATCCTCTGAGAGATCATAACACAAGTAGGATCAGGGTCAAGACACAGCACTTACCAGACTCAAAGGACTGTCCTAAGTGCTGTGGACAGGAATCATTTGTTCCCCCAACAAAGCTAGGGCACAGGTCTCCTCATTACCCCATTTCACGGATGAGGAAACTGGTGACCAGATGGCAACAAGCCAAGGCAGAGGCAAGACTGACACCCCAGGCAGTCTGGCTTTAGAGTCCTTGCTCTTAAACTGCCCTGTGCCACCTTTCTGGCAGAGGCATTTGATAGGTTCATGGTGATAGTGGCTCTTGGGTGGGGAGGTCAAAGGAGGTAGGGTTTGAACTCAATCTAGAACAAACAAGATTTTCCCGAAAGAGAGGGAGGGAGGGTTATTCCTGGGAGAGGTCACAGTATGGGGAAACTCAGGGTTCAAAAGGGCACTGGGTTGGTAGAATGAGTTCAGAATGGCTGAATCACAAAGTGTGTGGGCCAGGCAGGGGAGCTAGGGGCTGGACCCTGGAGGGCTCATTCATTTTGAGGAGAAAGCAGTGTCAGCCCAGGACACAGTTGCAGAGTACAGGAAAGGACAGTTTCTTAATTTAGTACCAGATGTTTGTGCCCTGTAACTCACCAATATTTGGTCAGCAAATTTGAGGAGACCATCACACTATTATTATCCCAAATGAGGGTGTAGAAGCAGCCTTCTCTCCAGGGCCCTCCCTTTGTGGGAGCTGGGGCCACTGAGAGCCACTCCCTTGGACCAGAAGAGAAAGTGAACCATGGTCAAGAACCCAGAACTGGCCTTCAATGGAGGCTTTCTGGGCCTCCCTGTGTGACTGAGCAGAGGCCCTCAGCCCTTTGATCTTCACCTGCCAAAGGGATCTCCTAGAACCTGTGTTCTCTACAGATGAGCAGTTCAGAAGCAGGATAATTCAGCAGTTCAGAGCTGGACTCTAGGAATAGTTCTACCACTCTGGGCCTGGGGGAGCTCCTCACTTGCTGAGCCTGTGTCTTCTCTGGTGAGGAAATAGGGATGACACCAGCCCCATAGGGCTCTGAACGTCGAGTGAGTGGTGCCTCTGCTCAGTGCCCACCAGACACTGGATATGTTCATTATTCTAGAGATCAGATCTCCTTTTCCACCTGGGTTCTAGTGCCTCTAAGAAGGCCTGGCATACAATGGAGCTGCAAACATGTTGAGGGAAAGATGGACAAATGAAATAGCTGGGAGCGTCAGCGCAGGACAGAGTCTCAGAGATCACTGGGCCTCACCCACTCCAAGTCCATGTGAAGGCTGAGGCTCAGATGGGCAAACGACACACGGGGTTTTGTGTTAATTTGCTTGGAGGGAAGGACTGAGCCTCCTGAGAGGGATCAGGCACAGAGTAAGCAGCATTAAAGATTTGTTATACAGACCACTGGATGAATGGATGGATCCAGGGATGAAGTGCATAAAGGAGAGGGAAGGAGGGAAGTGAATGCTCAGGCTGTTTGGGTCATTCTCTAAGAGCAGATATCTTTCTGTCAAGTAGGCCCCCAACAAACTCTCACTGAGATGAACAGGGTTTCACTACTCCTATCTAAAATTCTTTCATCTTTTAAATTTGTTCATTCTCTTGTTAATTTTCTTTCACCAACCTCTTGGCTGTTTGTGAGGATTAAATGCATGAATATACATAATGTGCTTAGAATGGTTTTTGGTGCACAGGAAGTAGTATGTTGTACTATTATAATTCTGCAAGCATTTCCTGAGAATCTATCAAATGCCAGGCCCTGAAGGAGGCTGCATTAAAAATTTACCCTCAACCCAAAGAAACCACAGTGACATAGAACAGTCTCTCACCAGGAGAGGCCTAGCAGACTATACCCCTCCCTCTCCTCACTTTAGGCCTGCCAGAGAGACCCACCCAGATAGCCCTGGGGAGATGGGATGGGGTGTGGGGACCAGCAGGTATCCTGGGAAGTGGGACCCATCTTGCCCCCAGCAGGCCCGTGGGTGGCTCCTGATGTACAGGACTGAGCAGCCTTGTGTTGTCTCCTGCCCAGCCCCTCAGGTTCTTACCAGGGCTGGTGTGGTCATAGTGGTATGGCTCTGAGATGAAGTGTGGAACACTCATGAGTAGCCCTGCCAGGGCCACAAGGACAGCCCCACAGCCGATCATGCGGGGCCGGTGAACTCGGCTGCCAAAATAGCTCACAAACACAATCAACGCTGTGTTACCCACCTGCAAGAGGACAAGGTGACCCATTAAAGAGGAACAGAGGGGCCAGGGATTTAGCTCAATGGTTTTGCCGCCTGTCTCGAAAGCAAAAGTTCCTGAGTTCGATCCCCCATACCAAAAAACAAACAAACAAACAAACAAAAAACCAACAGTAAAGTGGAACAGAGCCCCAGGCAAGGGCCTGCAGCATCCTTTCTCTATTGCCGATCTCTGTTCCCCTAGCTGTATAATAGATGGGCTGCTGAATAAGAATCATTTGGGGCTCTCTTATGAACTCGGATTTTGCTGCCTGCTAGAAAGTGCCTCACTGCTCCTTTAGGACAGAGAAATGAGGATAAAGCTAAAAGATCAATTTCATTTTGGGACATGGAATAGGGTGGGCAGTTGAGGAAAGGAGCTTTGAATTGTAGGGATGTCACAAATGAGAGACACAAATAGAGAAAGTCTGAAGCCAGAGGAATGAGGCCTGGAATTTCAGGCCTTAGACCAGTGGTATCAAACCTATGGCACATGTGGCACAGTGGAGTATTTGTACCATTGAAAGCTCTAAAAGGTTCGCCATCACTGCCTCATACTCACAATCTGAGGCTGCAGGTGCTAGAGGGGACTTGTGAACTCGTAGGGCAGGAAGGTGCCTCTGCCCCCTGCTTCTGGGCCAGTGACCATGGGTGAGCCCCAGGCTCTTCATGGGGGACCGGGATCCTAACCACAGAGGGATAGATGGTGGGGGTACTGACCCTGGGAAGGACAGGTACTCTCCACTGTATAAATGAACTGACTTTCCTTTCTGGGATTTGGATGTGGTGTGCTGAAACACATCTGCGAACACTGTGCAGGCCTTGGGTCAGAAGGAATGTGACATGTAACACAAGGGAAGAGAATTTTATGGAATTCTGCTTGGGGGGAGCAGCTTCCTTCTCCAAGGGTGAAAACATCTGACAGGGAAGTGCTGGACATAGCTGGACTCTGATCTCCAAATCCACCCAGAGCTGCTCACTGGAGGCTCGCTGTCTAGCTGTGGGCTGCAGGCAGCGGCCTGTGGATCTTGAGGCAACTTTGAGGAAAGACACTCCTCTGTGGTGTCACTCCCTTGCTTGCCATGCCAAGGTCAGAAAGGGCCTTGGATGTAATTTAAGCCTCTCTGGAGACAGCAGAAGTGATTTTTTCTCCTTCCTGGGACACCCAATAGCTAAATGCCTAAGAGGGTAAAGAAGCCAAAGGCAGAGTGGATGGGGAGCATGACTAGCTCTAAAACATCCCATGTCCCCTGGCAAAGTGCTCCCAAGATCAGGACTCCCGAGTGTTAGAAGACAGCAGCAAACACCAGGACATTCCAGGGCAGGAGGGTTCTGGTTTCTGGTCCAGCCTGGGGAGGAGCACTGTTGGGCAGGCGCTGCCTAAGGGCACTGGGAGGGGAAGGGTCTATGGTGGGCAGTAAGATAGGAGGTTAGCAGAGAGGAGGCTGGCCTTGTGGCTGGGCCCAGACCAGTAGTACCTCATTGAAGGCGGCCAGTAGCCCAGAGGTCTGGCTGGAGAGGCCGAAGCGCTTCTCCACGGTGGAGATGGAACTCTTGAGGTACCCAGAGATCATGAGCTGTGCCAGCTGCAGCAGGCTGTGGCACAGGATGAAGAACTGGGGGAAGAGCACAATGGTGGGGGACAGGGAGACAGTCGGGAACAAAGTGAGAAGAGGGGAGAAGTTGGGGGGGTGGCAGAAATGGGGGGGCAAAGGGAGAGAGAGGCCAGGAGAAGAACAAGGGATACATTTGGAGAAATAGAGTCAGAGGAAGTGGTACACAAGAGAAGAAGAAGGAGAGGGAAGAACAAGAGGAAGGCGGGTGAAAGAGAGGGAGGGAGGGAGGGAGAGAGAGAGAGTGTGTTAGGTAGTTATTGGAGGAGCCAGTGGCTTCTCACACAGGCCTACAAACTAGAAGAACTGCCCTGGGGTCCTGGGGGTACCAGAGACCCACATGACAGAAAACAGGGTCTTCATGGGACCAAGAAATGCTGGAGGCCCCCACCCCTGACCTTCAGAGTTCCCAGAGCTGGACTGGACCTTCCTCTCTCTTCCATCACCCTGTCCTTCCCAGCTCCTTCTCCACCCCATTCCCACCTAGTCCTCCCTTAGAGCTGCCCTGGACACCACTCTCCCCAACACCGACCCCAAACTACCTCTCTCCACCTCACCCCATTTCCCAGCCTGCCTACAGCCCTCCTCCTGAAAAAACTGGCAGACTTTCTAGGGGAAGAAAAACTTGCTTAATATATTCACTCTGTTGAGTCTTAGTTTTTTCATCTGTGCAAGGATGAAGACCTGTCTGCTAGGGTTAGGTGAGAACTAATAAGATCATGTAAGCTGTGCTGTGGATCAGGGTAGAGCACTTGTTAAGCACAGCCCAGACCCTGGGTTCCATCTCGAGCACCACATTTAAAAACAATCACACGTGATAACACTTAACACAGGGCCTGGCACCCAGTAGTGCCAGTGATGTTGGCTATTCGGGGTCACCTTGTGGAGTCAGAACTCATTAGTATCCATACAGGTTCAAGATCTCCAGGGGACTTCTCTATTTCTCTAGAGAAATGGGAGGCAAGGGACCTCAACCCCTACTGTCCACAGGACTGAGCATCTTTCATCTCTGGAAGGAGAGAACATATCCTGGATACTTTCTGAGCACCTGACACCAAGCTAAGTGTTTTCATAGGTCATCCCTTTGATCCTCACAGCTACCCACTCTCCAGCTGAAGAAGCAGAGGCAGGAAGAAACTTGCTTAGCATTTATACATAGCTCAGCTCTGCCAGGCTCAGAGGCCCCTGCCCTGCCTGAGCCCCATGAGGTACCTTGATGCTGTGGAACACATGCGGCCTGGAGTCCTGAGGCTCTGGGCTGGCTTTGCCTTCCGGTATATCTTCTGTGCCCATTGCAGCCTTGCTGTCCTTGTTTGGCATCTGGGGCCCCTCACCTGCTGGTCCTGTGGGACAGTCAGCCGGGAGGTGAGATGACCAGAGTGGTCCTGTTTTAGTTTGGATATGAAGTACTACCCACCCCCATCCCCACCCCGCCCCTGAGGGAAAGCACTGCTCAGAGGTGGAGTTTTGGGAAGTGATTGTATCATGTTCATTGGTGAATCAACCCATTGATGGACTTGTAGTTTGATGGCTTTTTTAAGAAGTGAAGGAAACTCAGGAGGAGGAGGAGGAGCTTAACTAAAGGAGTAGGTCATGAAACATGTCTCTGGGACTATATCTTGTTTCCAGCCTCTTCCTTACTTTACCATGCCCTTCAGCCATGAAGTTCTGCCTTACCACAGGCCCAGAAAAGAGTGGAGCCAGCAACTATGAACTGAAACCTCTGAAACTGTGAGCCAAAATAAATCTTTCCTCTTGGAAGTTAATTTTCTCAAGTATTTTGTCACAGGAACAGAAAGCTGACTACCATGGGCCCTGACTCAGGAATTCCTCAGAACCAATGTGTTTCAGAGGTCAGGGACCTTGGTTGTTGGTGAGAATCCAAGAATTAAAGCCCTCTCACCCCCTCTGATTCCTATGTCACAGTGCTGGAATAGACCTTTCTCAAAGGACTTATCCTGCATCCCACTGAGGACTACCTACTTCATATTCTCTCTTCCCAGTATACACCTCCCTCCTAAGGAGAAGTTACAGACATTGGCATACATGGAGCCTTGAGCAATAGCCCCAGGAGTGGAATGGTTTGTGTAGTCTCAGGTAGCTTTGGGCCTCCAGCTGAGAGCCTGGATTCTTAGAAGCTGAGTTGAGGCTTGTGTCTGTCTCAGACTAGGATAGGAGATCTGGGACGAGGTGTAGGGTCAAGTATCGGGAGCAATTCTACATGATTTTGGGGAAAAATAATTTCATAATTAAATCATGATTAGGGGCTAATTTTCCTGTCTACAGGCCAGCTACGGCAGGTCGACATAACTCCATTTTCACCTCCAGTCACAGCTAAGGCCTCAAAGGTCCCATGATGCTATTATGCTCCAGGGCAGGGTTACACCAACTAGACACATCATGGGAGGAACCAAATCTTCATCAGCATAGTTCCTCACTGTTCTAGCATCATCACCACACCCTCTGAGTCTTCTGTTACATTTGTTTCTGTTAATGTTCTGAATAAAGGTGTAGCAAGCTCGGGGTCTAGGGTCTTTGCCACCCAGAGCAGCACGGATCAGGCCAAAGCTCAGCTTCTTCTCTAAGTCTCATTTTCTGTCTATATATTAATTAATTTGCCTTGCGCTGTCATGGCTCGCAGGAGACTAGGACCTGATGCAGAGGTTCTAGAAATGTCCTCTTTCCCTGTTCCCTATAGTCAAGACACCACCCAGAGGTGGAGAATAAAGCTTTTCCAGGGTTTATTCTAGAACAAACAACAGTTCCCCATAGGGCACCACCTCGCTTGCAATCAGAGCCAACAGTCCAGCCTCCAAATCATACACCAAACTATGCTGTGGGTCAGTACAGAGAAGGCCCTCAGAGACCACCCCATTTAACGCCCTCCTGGACAAGCAGACCAAGTGGAACCATGGCTCAAGAGGCAGAGCTGTCTTGCCTCATAGCCCCCATTGTGCCTGTTGGCTTTCTCCCATTGTAACGATGGTAACCATGGCAGTATACCAATCACAGCACTGAGAGCTGATCTCCTTCAAAGGCATCTCTTAAGGTGTCCTGACTCTGAAGCTCGGTGGGGAGCCTGAAAGTCCAGCCTTGGGAGACTCCACCCAGCCATCTGATAGAGACCACCTGTGTCTCTGCAGGCCAGTCCTCCACAGCCTTCCTCTCTCTTGTGGCCCCACTTCCTGCAGGAAGCCTTCTCCATTGTTCCATGACCGGCTCACCACAGGCAGGAGCTTCCCCTCATTTAATCCGGCCTCTGAAGCCTGAACACTGATCTGGGGATACCTTGGCCCCAGCACTCCCTCCCGTTGCAGTCCAGACCTAGCAGGCAAACTCTAGGCAGGCTTCTGAAGCCCTGAGCCTCTGCAAGCCAAGGTTTTGCAGCCCTTACACATAGTATCTGAGAACCTGAGGGGTTAGTTTAAAAATTGAGATATAATTTACATATCACAAAATGCATGCTTTTAAAGCCACATTCCAGCATTTTTTAGGATAGTCACAAAATTGTGCAATCATCACTACTAGTTAGGTAAAGAACATTTCCATTATCCCAGGAAAAAGTCTCATGTCATTACTAGTCATTCTCTACTCCTCTTCCCCACAGCCCCTGCAACTCCAAATCTATTTTAGGATTTATGGATTTGGCTCATCTGGACATTTGAAATGAACAAAACCATAAAATATGTGATCTTTTGTGACTAGTTTCTTTCAAGTAACATAATGTTTTCAAGGTTCATCCATGTTGCATCATGTATCAGGACTTCACTATTTTTATGGCCAAATCATACGCTGTTGTATGACTAGATCCTATTTAGTTTATCTATTCATTAGCTAATGAACATTTGGGGTGTTTCAAGTGTTATAAGCATCCATGTACAAATTTTTCCATGACATACATTTTCAATTCTCTTGGGTATATAACTACGAGTGAAATGGCAGGGTCATGGGGTAATTTTATGTGTAACTATTTGAGGAACTGCTGAACAGTTTTCCACAGTGGCTGCATTGCTTTACACTCCCACCAGCAAGGTAGGATGGTTCCGATTTCTCTACATCTTTACTAACACTTGTTCTTGTCTCTTTATTTTATAGCCATATTAGTAGGTGTGACATGGTGTCTCAGTGTGGTTTGACTGATGATGATCAGTATTTTTCCATGTACTTTTGATCATTTGTATAACTTTCCAGAGAAATGTCTGTACAAGTAGCTGGAGGAATATGACAGAGGAAATGGAAGTGCATATATCTTGGGAGAAGTTCCTTTTAAGGCATAAATTCTCAAACAACAACAACAACAAGAGCAGGGAAAACTTCTACCTAAAAGGGAGGAGAACAATTGGCCTGGAGAAAGGGAGTACGGGGGAGACTCTACAGGTCACTTGAAGGAGGAGGAGATAAGGTAGTTGAAAGCAAACGCTCCCAGAGAGACGGCAGGGACTGTTTCTGAGTCTCAGTTCCTGGCACTGGCAGAGACCTGTCACCCACTCCAACTTAGGTTCTGTGCCACACACTTCACATACATTGGCTCATGAACCCTGCTCACAGATCCATTATCTCTTTGCTTCTAGTAAGGACTGGAGGCTCAGAGGAATCTCACGCTGGTGGTCAACAACAGCCCCTGGGGCTCAAGCCCAGAAGGATGTTAGGCTCAACATCCCTCTGTGCTCCTTGGACAGGGCTGATGAGAAGTGGGGCAGCACTCCTTGCTGTCTTGGCCCACCCAAACCTAGCCAGGTCGCCTTTTGGCAGTGGTGCCAGCCCAGCACCAAGAGGCCAATCCAACTAGACACAGGGCTGGAGCTGACCCTAGGAGGGCAGAAGTTATGACCTGAATCCCTGGCTCTGAAGAAAACTTGGGGAATGGACTAGGGGAGGGACACAAGGTCAGTGTGAGGCAGGAGGTTAGGTTGTGGCCAGCTGGTTGGGCAAGTAGGCATGACTTGTCAATCATGGAGATCAGGACACATGCTTGGGAAACATGGTTCCTGAGCCCTGCACCCGTACCTGAGACTGATCAGAAAATGTTATCTTTCATTGGTTCCAGATCAAGCAGGTTTTTGATAGATTGGCCTCGATCTGATGATGTCAGGCTGAGGAGTAGGGGATACAAAAGACCTCCACCATCAACCTCATTCCCATTGTAAGCTTTTTCAGGGGCCCACCCTGCAGAGGATACTTTTATTCCTACTTTAATTGGCCCCCACTCACTTTGCAGAGCATATTCTTTTCCCACCTGTAATAAATATAAAATCTTCCTACCTTTTTCACTTGTTTTGACCAATTCTTTGTTCAGAACAATAAGAACCTAGAAAGAATATCTAAAACGAGTCCACAGCACTCCAGAACCCCACTCACAAGAGGACTGCTGGGAACATGTCTCCTCGGCCTCAGCCAGATCCTAGACTGCTGGCTTGGCTTCTGGACACACTGGGGGCCATGCTCCCCAAGTCCCAAACCTTTTAGCCCCGGTCCCAGACCCTGCCCTCCTGCTCACTGTTAAAGCCTCCTCACCTGCCTCAGGTGAGCTCCTTCTTCAGCTTCACCTCTGGCTTTCCTGAAGCTTCCACCTCAGTCTCCCCTGGCAAGGCTCAGAGACTTCCTGAGGTTACTCTAAACTTTAGAGAAATGGCTGGTTCTGGAGGACAAAGTCCACGGCCCAAGCTCCTGGGTGGGGGAGGAAGCACTGGCTCTGAACCTCTGGACCACGAGAGCAGCAATAGGTCTGAACATCTGTCAGCCAGCAAACTTATTAATCAATTGGAGCCTCCTGCTGCAAGGCTGCTCCTCCTGAGCAGGAGTCAGTATTCCTCTTTTCAGCTGAGTCCGGGTGATCAGGGGCAGCCTGGCAGGGAGGCCCCATGCTCTGTCCATTTTTGCTGGCAAGGCTCAGAATCTTGCCTCCTCAGTTACTTCCCAGCCACAAAAGGCAAATTCCAGGGAAATGGGAAGCTAAGTATAGGCTTTCTGTTCTAAGATCTGGGCTGGAATCCTGATTCTATCACCAGTCCACGGTGTGAGCCTGGACATGTCCCTTGGTCTTTCTGAGCCTCAATTTCTTCATCTATAAGGTGAGGAAGACAATCTCTATTGATAAGGTTTAAGACTCACTACCCCAAAATATGGTACCTTGGCATTTGAGAAAAGCAGAAACCAGAATGTCATTCTTACCTTCACCTCACCCTTTTCTCCTCTAGCAGGTCATATGACATTGGAAGTTTACTCTCTGACCTTCTTCTACCCTTTCCTTTGAAGAACATCATAAGACCTTTGTCTGAAAGGTATCTCTCCATACACAGAGAAAGGGAACATCCTTATCTTTGAAGACCCAGAGAAGAATCTA